TCAAAGAGCGCTAAAAAGCAAAGCTTAAAAAGCATAACTAAAATCTAAAAGCAGTGGCTAAAAAGCATGCCTAACTTGACTAAAAAGCTAGAGCGATGAATAAAAAGCACGGCTAAAAGCCATGACCAAAAAAGCTAAAGAGCTAAAAAGGCGATGACTAAAAACATAGCTCAAAGCTATGACTAAAAAGCCGCATGGCTAAAAGTGATGACTTGAAAGCACATGGCTAAAAGCAAAAAACTAAAAGCTAGACGCAAAAAGCATGCTAAAAGCGATGAATTTACATGACTAAAAAAGTAATGATCTGATGGTGTCCTGAGTATTTAAACTGGGCTCTTGGACACATCCCAAATGGTGTTTTGACCAATTAGACACTGTCTTACACCGGCAGGAATTGTTGGTGGGGGGAGTGAATGTACAGCGCTCTCTCCCACCTTCAATACCACGACTGAGGTGCCTTTGAGCAAGGCCCCGAACCCCCAACTGCTCCCCGGACGCTGCAGCATAAATGGCTGCCCACTGCTCCGGGTGTGTGTGTGTTCACTGCTGTGTGTGTGTGCACTTTGGATGGGATAAATGCAGAGCACTAATTCACTATTGTTATGATTCACAACTGTACTGTTGCCTGTTTCTACATGAATTTTTTTAAATGAATTATTGTGCAATGTTAAGTCAGCACTACTGTTTTTAACTTTTATGCTGTTTTAGCATTGTTGTTTTAATGATTCACAATGTGGCCTCTTTCCATATATATTAAAATTTTTATTTTTTTATTTTGTGAATGTGCAATGTTAAGTAAGCACTTGTTTTAAACACTTGTACCCACAAAGAAACTTATTGAACATGCACCTCATTTGATGACATTAAAGATAAGTTTAAAACGTTAAACTTACTACTGTCTGTATTTGCAAAGCCATTTAAGGATCTCTTCTTCAGAAAAAATATTTTTTAAGGTAAGTGGTTGCAAACAATTTATTTTAAAATGTTCAAAGTTAGTCAACAAAATGTGTTTATTTAAATGTAGCTAAAATAAATTGATTGCAACCACTTACCTTAAATTTTTTTAGTAAATTCAATGAATATTTTTTTATCAGTAATACATAAATAATTTAAGAGGAAGTAACATAATTAAATAGGGCTGAAATTACTAAAATAAATTATACTAAGCTAAACAAAATTGGTTAAGTTCAACTAAATTTGTTTGTTTAAATTTAGATCAAATCAATTTGCAACCACTTACCTTAAAAAAAAAAAGTAAATTAAATTAATAAATGTTTTTCAGTGTAGATACATTAAACGTCATCACGCCAAACAGTTTATCAATTTACAGTATTTTCCAATTGTAGTATAATCAATTTTATTGAATAGTACGTGGAGATACGTTTTTAATTAAAATATTCATATGAATCAAGACTTTATTGACTTTTAATGCAGCTTATTTCGAAATGTACAGAAATACGTGCTTTCAAATGTCCTTTAGTTATGATTATTTCCTTTATTCACTATATAATGTATTACTAATGTCTCATTTCAGTTTTAGTTTGGCTCTACTTTTGTATTTATTCCAGTTTATATGAAAAGGTTCATGTAGTGTGGACTAAAATTCATTCACCGAGTAAATCCTGAACATGTTAAAAATAAGTTTGAAAAAGCATGGTGCATGGGGAGCATGTGGTGGTGACGCTGAGGTGCTGTAGTTCGTTTATAGCCTAAGTTTAGCTTTTAAGTTCTGCTGCTTTTATTTAGGCTTCAAAATTCATAAAAGCTATAATATTTTGTGGAGATTATCTTGGTGGACAAAATGTGTAAAATTAATGAACTATGATTGAAAAGGGAGCTTATTTTTTGCGATTATCCAAAAGCCTATGGAAAAATCCTATTGGTTTTTTTTGTCGAGGGAACCAGTGTCATCTTATTCTGACCTATTTTATTTACATAACACTAGATACATTCAAACACATATATTTGTATTAATTTATCAAATGTTTTTAATCTGTTATTTAAACAAATTTACATTTAGAATTTAATCTGTCATTAATAGATAATAGAACTGTAGATAAATGATTAATCTTAAAATATCATGACACTATTTCAGCAAACAAATATGTTAATGCTATATTGTTACTAAAAGTTTTATTTTCCTGTGGATTTCGGTCATTTGCGTTTTATATCCTTTATATATATCGCTATAAAATGGGTAGGTTAAGGTTTGGGGGTAGGTTAAGGGGTCTAAAAATCTAAATTGCGTATTTATAAAATGATAAAAATGCATATTCGCTATAAAATGGGTAGGTTTAGGTTTGGGGGCAGGTTAAGGGGTCTAAAAATCGAAATCGCTTATTAATAAAATGATAAAAATGCATTGATATGAATATCTAAATGATATAAAAGATACGTAAATATTTTTACGTTTTTTAGCTAAAAATACGTAGCGATTTGTACGTTTTAAACGTTGAAATACGTCTAAATTGTACGTTTTAGCATGACTAAAAACGTACAAAAGTGTACGTTTTGTGCTTGTAAATGTTACGTATTTATACCTACGTATAAACATGAGACCAGGCTGCTATTTCACATCGGTTTCCACACAGTTTTGAAAAATGTTAATACAATAGTTTGGAAAGCTGTGAAGTACAGGGGTAGAGAGAAACAATTCTATATATGTAATTTATATACAGTATAACCAGGCCCGGATTGGCTAATTGGGAGCACCGGGAGGATTCCCGGTGGGCTGGTCTGTATTCTTGGCCACGAGGGCCGGGGTTGTCATGCCACTGGGTTGAAATATGGATGCTGTCCCTATACTGCCTGCACTCATAGCAGCCCCACTCTTTTTATTTATTTTTTTCTCACAGCCCATATTATTATTTTCACTAGACCATATCAATAACCAATTTTCAATTTATAATTAATCTTTTTTTTTGTTGAGCAAATCATTGTTTTATTTGTGAAGAAGCCGTTTGAGGAAGGCTTTAAGACCTTTTAAAACTTTCATTGTAAGTTAATGCTGTTAAATAGAGAGAGAAAAAAATACATAAAAAAAACTTCTAGCATATTCTTAAATGTGCACCTCATTATTGAAGTACAAATTCAAGCACCAGAAGCAGCCCACTTTCTCTAAGTTTTCTTTAATTGAAAAAATATGCATTTTCATTCATTCAAAGGCTATATGGTTGTAATGATATTTTAGTTCAGAACTTTAAGTGCCATTGTTAAAAATGCTTTATTGACTGACATTTCATAGACCATCAGTTGTTAGCTTTCAAATTTCATGCCATTTGTAATTTCACAGTATTTTCACCTCCTAAATTATACACTTGTGAAGTCACAATTATATATTGGTACAATTTACTCAGGCCAATGACATTTTTTGTATGACATTAAAATTATTTTTAGAATAATTGTACACAAATTAAGCAAAACAATTGTGATTATTTCGGAGAACTTTTTACCTGCATGCAGACAGCCTACATTATGGTACAGTACAAATATTTGGAGCGTCCCTTATTTTCTTAAAGAATAAACACTTATTTTCTACAAAAATACAAGAACAAACACTATTTCCTTAAAGAATAAAAGATAAAGAATCACAATTGTCCCTTTTTTCCATTTCTGAAATTAATTGGCAACCCTAATAATGACGTAATTATTACATATATGTAATTTATAGAAAAAATCATTTGATTCACAGATCAAAAAACCCCTCTCAATTTCACAAATTGTGGTCTATGAATCAAACACCTACATGCAGGAGCAGCTTGTCTTTGAGGGCAGAAATATTCACCCAAAACAGAGACTTCTATACAAACTGAAAAAATAATAAACTGTAAATGCGTTCAACATTCTGCAACAAATATTTTTCAGATTTCTTGAGAATTTTAAGTAATAAAATACACAGGACATATAAAAATTAATCGCAAACTTTGGCAGGCACGTAAAATGATACTGAGTGAGGCAGTCGTGCCAGTGCCCTCCTAAACTCAACTGCGCCCCACAAATTTTACAATGTAAATCTGTTGTGAAAAGTGGAATTGCAGCAAGCTCTCATTGAGAGCCATTTACCACAGCTATATGTGTCTGCATCAGGTCAGTAACTAGCTGGCATGTCTGTTTTATGGCCAGGAGTCGCTACTGCATACATGTGAATCATTTTCATTTGTCATTAGATGTATTCATCCAAACTCTCAATAGCTTGCTCTTTTGAGTATCGGCTCCATTCATATGAAATCACATCCCACATGTGGAATGTTTTATCAAAGTGGTTTTTCAGATTTTCCTGAAATCTGTACACAAACCACTTCCAGTATGGCAGCTCAGAGAAGTCAGGAGTGATGTTCCACTCTGCATAAACATTTCCTGCATTTCTGTACTCTCTGCACAGAAACCACTGGCCAGTATAGAACATTTTACTAGTTCTTACTAAATTTGTGCAAAAATCTGCACCGAGACACTCTGTTTCATCATAACAGCTACCAGTGAGTCCATCCACTCGATGGAAAGGAACACTGTGATCACCAGTATGGTTTTCTACAGTGTTGGTGCAGGTGGCTGCACAGAACGGACACTGAACCCAGCAGCACTGACAGAGATGATCAATCAGAATCTCATCTGGTCTGTCCTTCTCTTCCAGATTTACAGGAAATGTCTCTGTGCTGAATTTATGCTGTATTTCAGATGATACTGAACCAAGTAATTTGCTTATCACATCTTCTAGGAGGTTGAAATCATCAACACCTTCATGACTCACTCCACTGAGGTCCTTTACAGAGAATATCAGCACATCTGAGAGCTGCAGTGCGAAATTATCCAGCCACTTCTGAACATCTCCACTGGTTGTGTTGACCACTGTAGTTGCTCTATGAGCTGCTTCCATGATTTTCTGCTGCAGGAGTTCAATGTTCTCCTTCATCTTGGGGCGAACACTCACTTCAAACTTATCAGTGATGAACTGACTGACTTCATCTCTGACAAAACTCTTTAAGTGGTCTCTGGGATAATTAAAGTATGTAATGTACTTTTCAAATTCCTCCTGTTCTGCCAACCTCTTGAGAATGTGCTTCTCTAGTTTAGATCTGTTTCCATTTAGTGATTCACAGTTTATTTGAATTTCATTAGTCATATCTCTGGCTGTATCTTTGTAGACACTCTTTTGAATGGGCTCTTTCAGTTTCTGACAGATGATCTCACCAAAAATGGCAGCTGATGTTGCACCTTGACAGTATTTCTGGAAAATACTATAGTACTCTTTGCTCTTCTGTTCAAAGTATAAAACAGGATCATTGGCTTCCCTAAACCTTCTGTGTTGGTCAGTAATTACCTTGTTTATTCTCTTACAGATGGAAATGACCAAATCCATGTAAAAGTCCTTTTTGAACACATAGTTCCTGGAACCTTGCTCATATTTTGCTACTCTTACTTTGATATAATCTGCGAGTTCCTGAATGTAGGTTTTGTTGTAACCCGTCTTTGAAATGTTATATGACATGACTGTTTTGTCTGCATGTTGAGCAATGTCACTGACTAAGGTTTTAATTTGGCTTTCAACCTCAAACTTCAGTTTAGCTGATCTGATGGCATGTCCTGTAACTCCTCTGAGTTTCTGTATGTAATCTGAATAATGTTGCACAAAGAAAATATCCCTGCTGTTCTTCCAGGCCTCTACAGGGATACTTTCATAGTTACTGAGGAGTTGCTTCATGTCTTTTATTACATTAATGTCTTTGATTGGAGGAGTTTCTGCAGTAAACTTCTTAACACATTCTTTCCAAAAGGAATCAAACTCTTTTTTCAGGATTTTTTCATCATTTGCTTTGTCTTTGAGTTTTATTGCAAGTTCTTTGCTCTTTTCCAAGAGATCATTTTCATGATGTGTCCTCTGAGCATCAATCCTTTTCTTCATTTCTCGCTGCTGAAGAATCTCATTTAATTTCTTCGTTGTTTCTCTCACAATATTTTCGCAAAGATCTTTGATTTTGATATAAAATGATACTTTCCACTGTATCAGTATATCTTTATCTTTGTCTTTCTCAAAGAATTCTGACATTGATTTTTTTACTTCTTCACTTTTTAGGTTCTCTTGAAGATCAATTTCTGGAACTGTATTAATTGTTTCATTTTCTATGCTGATGTAGAGTTTGTTCTCTATATCCAGCATGGTTCTACGAAGACTCCAAGACCACTTGCTGTATTCTGTCTCCAGTTTCCGATATGTTGCGATTTCCAGAGCATTTTTGAAGCTGAACACAAATCTTTCATTCAGTAAAGCTTCCCAGAGATCATTAATACGGTGTTTAAGTTGTGTCAGCTCTAAGCCATAAGATTTTGAGGCATGGCTAAAAAAAGTTTTCTTTAGCTCTTGGATGTTTTCACAATATGATGGGTTTGGAGGTGCCATTGGTGGACTTCCCTCCCACAGCTGTGCAAAATATTTCACATCTTTCTGTATATCAAAAGTAATGACATCATTGAAACATTCAGCATCAAAGACTTCATCTTTAGCAGCAAGTTTTGTCATTTCATCCAGTGTCTGCAGCAGCCGTCTTCTTCCCTCCATGTTTTTCTCTCCGGCTGTGACTTCTGAAACGTTCTGATGAACAAACATGCAGCTGGGATTCAGTCTGACCTTCTTCATCCTCATGAAGGCCTGAACAACGATCTGAAGAATGTCCTGCAGCTCTGATGGGTTTTCTCCAAAGATATTGATCAATGTCAAATTACCAAGACCAACAACAAATGTGGCCATTTCATTGTCCTGATGTCTTGTTGACCTTTCAGATAGTTCTAGAGCACGAAGCCCCTCAGTATCAACAACCAGAATAAAGTCAAACTCCAGCTGTTCTTTTATCTTGATCTCCTCTGAAACTCTGACCAGCTGCATGAAAGCTCCTCTGGTGCATCTGCCAGCACTGACAGCAAACTGGAGTCCAAACATGGCGTTCAGCATAGTGGATTTCCCAGAGCTCTGAATCCCTAAAACAGACAGCACAAACACTCTCTTGTCTCCCAATTTCTGAATGAGTTCATGTAGAACAGCAGTAACCCAGACCACAGGAACATGAGCAGCATCTCCATCCATCAGCTCCAGTGGAAATCCAGAGATCATCATCTCTGCTGCAAGACTCGGGAGAGAAGAAAAATTACATGGCAGACCTTCTTTGTTCTTATTGACTGATTGACACGATTCATAGATCTGACCGATCTCCCTCAGGATGTGCTCCAAGCCAAAGGTTGCTGCTTGAAGTTCTTCTGATATCTTATCAAGTTCAGTTTGTTCATTGGACAAATTTATTGCCATCTGTTGCTCAAATCTCTCATTGCTCTCTTTTAGTTTTAAGACTTCTGACCACTTTTCATCATACTTGTAATGTAGAGCAGAAAGGTCAGTTGATGTATGTTCATCCAGGAGGATTGTGAGCCATTTCAGAAAAAATGTCTTCTCATTTGGAGATTGTGAATTCATTTCTGTAATAAAGAACTTCATGAACTCACCAATGTCCAACACATGCTGCTTTTCACGGATTTTCTTCATCTCTTGTTTCTGTTCTATTTCCATTTCTATTTCATTTCCCTGAGATCGATGTAGTTCTTTGTTCTTTATACACCACTGATGCCATAGTTTTCCCTGGCAGGACAGAAATGATTTTTTGATTTCTGTCACATTTTTATCCTTCAGTAATTTCATCATCGTCTGTGCATCTTCTTTTCCTGTCCTGCAGCCGTCATCATATTTCTCATCTACTCTGATACCTGAGTGTTTGGACACATCTTCAAGTCTGAAAATAGAAGGTGATTCTGCCGATAAGAATGAGAGACATTCATTTATAGCTTGTTCAAGTTCTTCAGATATTTCTGACTGATTTCTTTCTTTTAATCCAATTTTGTATTTCCCGCTCCTCATCTCAGTTACACTAGATTCATCCTCCGTAAAAAGACAAATAAGTGGCTTTCTGTCCTTGTACAGGTTTTGCATCTGTGCTGCACTCTTGTCTTTCTGGTCAAGTCGTGGTAGAATAACAACATTGACTGAGGCCATTTCAGTGAGGATCTGCAGCTGTTTCTCACTGTCTCCTGCATCACCATGAAGGTTACAGAAAGCAATACATTGATTGAATTTATCTGTATCTTTCCCAGAGGGGCAGTACCAAGCGATCTCCACCACTCCATCCATCAGTAGTCTGGTTTTGCTGCTGCCTGTGCAATGCCTTTGGAAGAACGTGTTGTGTTTTTCATTGATAAGATTGTTCATCAGCTGAGATTTGGATGAGGACACTGAGCCAAACCTGAAGAAAGACACCATAGGTGTTTCTGTCTTCCAGACAGGCTGGATTTTGCTGATTATTTCATTTTTGACATCTTTCATCTTCCAGCTTTTGTTGATTTGTCTGAATGTCCAGAGGGGAAACTCAATCTCTTGTGTGAATGGATCAGGAACAAGCAGAGGCAGAGCGTACTGACACTGAGACAGTTTAGTCACCATCAGCTGCTTCAGGAAACTATCTGCACAATGAAACACAGCCATCTGAACATCCATCGGGTGAATAGCAACTTTCTTGCTTTTTCCTTGAGAAAACAAAGACATGTCTCTAAAAATATTGGCATCACCATTACATAAGTCATTGTTAATTTGTCGTCTGCCATGCTGCTTATTCGTCTCTTTAGTTTTAATGTATCTTGCTCTGTAGTTCATCATCAGTAGTTTTTGTAGGAAAGTCTGAATGAGGTCCTCCTCAGCACAAAACTCATGAAACTGTAAAGAATGTGCAGTTAACTGAAGAACATCTGCAGCTCTTAGTTTACAGGAATGCCTGTTATAAAGATGGAGTCTTTTAAATAGATGCTTTACTTCTTTCTTCATTCCATTTCTTTTGATTTGATTCAGTCTTGCATGGTCTATTGATTGGGTCTCTCCCTGGAAAATAAACAAGCAATTAGCTTACAACATAATTTACAGTATATTGAAATAAATATAGACATTTTTTTTGTAATGCAGAATATCTAAAAAGTTGACAAAAATACCCAAGAAAAAAATAAGACTCTTTTCATTACATTTACCAGCAACTACAGTATACTAGACAGCTCCAAAACCATAAAAGGTCAAGTGAAACTATATGACAAGGAACCACTTGGTTAAAAAGAAATACGTCTATAAGCTGTATGTCTGCATTCATGGAATTCTTTCTAACTTCCTTTTCATATTCTATTTTTACACTACACTCAACACTTACCTCATGTGTCCTTCTTCTCTCTGTTGTTGAGGTGTAGTCCATACTCTTTCCAATAATTGTGGGTTGATCTTTTGAAGGAAGGTGAGAGAAATATTAAAATGGAACTGAAATTTGATAAAATTTAAAGCAAATCCATGTCCAAAAATTAAACAATAACACAAAATCTTTTTGGATACGACTGATATGACTTCAGTTCCCTTTCAAGGGAACTTCGAACTGCGTCCTCTAGGGGTCGCTATGGGGAACGCCTCATCGTGATCCGTGTCTAATGCATACATTCAAAAAACACCAACAACACGGAGAGAACACATCCTCTTCTTCGTCTTCACTGTTTTGTTTGAAGCGTGCATTTCCGTGGTAAGAGCGATCTTTATTCCTTCATTATGGCAAGCACTAGCAAGGTGTTTAGAGGATGTGTGCATCCATATCGTCGTTATGCCTTTGGAAGAACGTGTTGTGTTTTTCATTGATAAGATTGTTCATCAGCTGAGATTTGGATGAGGACACTGAGCCAAACCTGAAGAAAGACACCATAGGTGTTTCTGTCTTCCAGACAGGCTGGATTTTGCTGATTATTTCATTTTTGACATCTTTCATCTTCCAGCTTTTGTTGATTTGTCTGAATGTCCAGAGGGGAAACTCAATCTCTTGTGTGAATGGATCAGGAACAAGCAGAGGCAGAGCGTACTGACACTGAGACAGTTTAGTCACCATCAGCTGCTTCAGGAAACTATCTGCACAATGAAACACAGCCATCTGAACATCCATCGGGTGAATAGCAACTTTCTTGCTTTTTCCTTGAGAAAACAAAGACATGTCTCTAAAAATATTGGCATCACCATTACATAAGTCATTGTTAATTTGTCGTCTGCCATGCTGCTTATTCGTCTCTTTAGTTTTAATGTATCTTGCTCTGTAGTTCATCATCAGTAGTTTTTGTAGGAAAGTCTGAATGAGGTCCTCCTCAGCACAAAACTCATGAAACTGTAAAGAATGTGCAGTTAACTGAAGAACATCTGCAGCTCTTAGTTTACAGGAATGCCTGTTATAAAGATGGAGTCTTTTAAATAGATGCTTTACTTCTTTCTTCATTCCATTTCTTTTGATTTGATTCAGTCTTGCATGGTCTATTGATTGGGTCTCTCCCTGGAAAATAAACAAGCAATTAGCTTACAACATAATTTACAGTATATTGAAATAAATATAGACCTTTTTTTTGTAATGCAGAATATCTAAAAAGTTGACAAAAATACCCAAGAAAAAAATAAGACTCTTTTCATTACATTTACCAGCAACTACAGTATACTAGACAGCTCCAAAACCATAAAAGGTCAAGTGAAACTATATGACAAGGAACCACTTGGTTAAAAAGAAATACGTCTATAAGCTGTATGTCTGCATTCATGGAATTCTTTCTAACTTCCTTTTCATATTCTATTTTTACACTACACTCAACACTTACCTCATGTGTCCTTCTTCTCTCTGTTGTTGAGGTGTAGTCCATACTCTTTCCAATAATTGTGGGTTGATCTTTTGAAGGAAGGTGAGAGAAATATTAAAATGGAACTGAAATTTGATAAAATTTAAAGCAAATCCATGTCCAAAAATTAAACAATAACACAAAATCTTTTTGGATACGACTGATATGACTTCAGTTCCCTTTCAAGGGAACTTCGAACTGCGTCCTCTAGGGGTCGCTATGGGGAACGCCTCATCGTGATCCGTGTCTAATGCATACATTCAAAAAACACCAACAACACGGAGAGAACACATCCTCTTCTTCGTCTTCACTGTTTTGTTTGAAGCGTGCATTTCCGTGGTAAGAGCGATCTTTATTCCTTCATTATGGCAAGCACTAGCAAGGTGTTTAGAGGATGTGTGCATCCATATCGTCGTTATTTGACATCTGATGACACACACGATCTCTGCGTTTTTTGTTTGGGTGAGGAGCATGCACGCGATGTCCTCGAGGGGGCAATCTGCGTTCACTACGAGCGCTTTCCAATGAAAAAGCTCCGCTCTCGTTTGTCTCTCTTTTCGAGGAAAGAGGGGCAGCCATCGGCTCCCCATGGTTAAGGAGGAGAATGAGGTCGTGGGGATCGCAGGTGGATCTGGCCGATGAGTTTAAAGAGGGGCTTTCCCCCTTGCGCTCGTCGGATGTGGACGAGAGTGAGCCGCTGAAGGATGATGTTATTTCATTTAACATCATCTGATCCAGGGGCCAGTGTTCTGCTGAGTTCGACCCAGGAAGAGCAGGAGATGTCTGAGGAGGGCGAAGAGCCTTCCCAATCCTCCTGCCCTGCGTTTGATTTGCAGTGTTTTCCGGGACCTGTGTGTTTCTGTCCTTTTCTAGGGTATGTCCTCGGTGAGCACTCCCCTCTGCTGGATTCAGAAACCGGGTGCTCGACTTGCTTTTTGAGTGAGTGTTTCCTCACTTGTCGATGTTGTATCCAGCCAGAATGATAGCCCTGGTTTCAGCTTCATGCTTCCTGGATCATGCGGCCAGGTCACAGGCTTCTGCTGGAGCCTTCTTGATCATCAGGCCCCTGGCACGGCACTGCAAAATCTCCTGGATGTCCGGGCAGGGCTTATGCTTTCAGGCTGCCCTGTCTGGTACAACGTATCTAGGTCGCCCTGAGGGGCTTCCTGATAGAGGTCTACACGGAGGACCCGAGACCCGAGGACCCGACCCGGGATCCGTACGGATTCGGGGCTATATTTTAAATGGTCAGCCAGGTTCGGGTCGGGTCCCAATCTATTACTTCGGGTCCCGGGTCTGTTTAACATTGTGTGTAATACCCGAGTCGATCGGACTCGGAGAACACCCGGCCGTTATCAGAGTCAGTCAGCGCTGTGCGTGTGTTGTTTTGTAACTTTCAACTTGTAAAATTAGGATGAGAAAAGTGCGAGTAGGTCATTTGAAATAAGGTGGAAAAAGAAAAAAAAACACGAGTGACGTCATCAGAAGCAGGGTGGGCGGAGTTAATGCACACGCACGGTGATAATGGATACCTTCATGAGTGATGTGAGTTATTATTGATTATTTTAAAAATAATATTATGAATGAACCGTCTTGTTGTTATATCTAAAATTTTTGCTCAGACTCGGCTCAGAGAGCACAGAGATGATAGCAAATACATAAAGCTAACGTCAGCAGCCATGGCACTGGACGAGCAATCGTTATTATAATCCAAATAGGCAAACTGTCTAAATTATTATGCAAGTTGACTCGAGATACAAAAAATGCAAAACTGCAAAGTCGCATTTGTCATCCGTCACCGTGACAGCAACTGGAATAATAAGTAGATTACGCATTTCAATTGGCAAGAGAGGAATAACATGGATGGAACTTTCTTGGCAAGGTGGATTGTGTGCATCACAGTCAGGTACAAGGGAGAAGGCTTCTTACATTAGGTAAGACAAAAACCTTAATTTTCGCAACTTGTTTATCGACTTGTTAATAGCAATTTGCTGTGGAATATGTGCCGATCGGGTCCAGTCGGGTCTGTGTCGTCCTGGCCGGGTTCGGGTCCATTTTTTAAATTATTGCACTTTTTAAAATCCACATAGTGGTAAGTGTGCACGCTAGACTCTGCGCACTTTCTAAAATCCTGTATGGTAAGGGCTACGCGTTATTAGCCTCGTTCCCTTTCTCTGAGTTGGCTTAGACCCTGGTACCTTGGGCTTCACTCAATCAGTGTGTCTCTGTTGACATACTTTTGAAGCATCACTCCCCTCACCATTGAGGGTTATTGTGAGCATGGTGCTTTCTTTCGAGCATTTGAATTCTCTCCCTTGCTGAGGAGTTGGATTCCTCGTGGGCTGTTCTTGTGGTAGTGTTTAGCAGTGGTAGTGTTTAGCAGTGCTCCCTCAAAGGGTTGCCTATGAGCACGCTACTCCTTTTCTAAATTCGGAGTTCTCCTCTCAAGTGAGAGTTGAGTTCTATGTTTTTCCAGAGCACCTGCAACCAGCAGCATCAGGTGAACTAGACCCTTCCTCCGCCTCTCTGATGCGCTGAGTTTTTGGCTAGCTTGCAGTATGCTTACCCTTCTGATTTCTAACGATCATGCTGTAGGTTGAGCCCCCTCTCGTTGAGAGCTGGGTGTTGTGCTCCCTCAGCTAGGTAACTTACTGCTAGCCGTTCCAGCATTGGAACATGCTGTAGGTTGAGCCCCCCTCTCAATTGAGAACTGGGTGTTTGCTCCCTCAGCAAGAGATTTACTACTAGCCACTCCAGCATTATGCCTTAGATCGAGTTGATGACTTCTCAAACATAGTGTTATGGGATGCACCATTTCCATCTATGGGCTGCTCTTTCAGAGCGCTTCGAGGGCCCCTTAGAACGGTATTTTTAAATCCATGTTATGGTAAGTGTGCACGTGAAGTCTTTGTACACTTTCTAAAATCCACACTGTGGTAAGTTTGCACACTAGTTCTTTGCGTTCTTTCTAAAATCCTGTATGGCAGCTTCGTGCCCTTTCTTGAGCTGGTTAAGCCCCGGTTCCACCTTGGGCACCACTCCACCTATGTATCCTCCGGATACCCACTTTGAACAGGGTGTTGCTACTAGGGGTCTGTTGAGACAGTTTCTTCATTATATGCAGAGCAAGCGGTAGCCCCTGTGTGACAGGCCAAGACTTAGTATGATTCTAGGCTCTTGGTCATATTCCCTTAAAGGAATCTATTCCTGATTCCAAGCCTTGAGCTCTACCCTGGGCCCAGGAGTTCTGGCCCTAACAGGTAAGTTTTTTGGGGTATGTAGCCTAGGCCTTTGGCCGTAGGGGATAACGTCACTGACAGCCGTCTTAATGTCCCAGGGGCAACTCCCATGGCTATGGTAGAGTTGGTACTTAGTGCTCGCCATGGTTTTCTGGCATGCACTCCCTTCAGCATGGTGGCATTGGTATACCGTTCCCAATAGTGACCCCTAGAGGACACAGTTCTAAGTTCCCTTGAAAGGTTACGTATGTGCACCGGTAGTGACGTCATGGGCTGTCGCCGGCCAGCGTGTTGTTGGTGTTTTTTGAATGTATGCTTAAGACACGGGTCACGACGAGGTGTTCCCCATAGCGACCCCTAGAGGACGCAGTGTCTCATTCCCTACTCAGGGAACCATGGTTACATATGTAACCTGAGACGTTTTCTCAGTCTCATATGAGTGTACATCAATTTTATACTAGTGTAATTTAGGCTTGTACATAACCCACTTGGTACAGTCTACAATGCTGTTGTAAAAGTTTCTGAGTTTCATGTCTTTTTGGTTTTATTATCTCCAGGTGTTTTCAGTTTGTTAATTATTTCTTTGTTTATTTAAAGCCCTTTTCCTGTTCTTGGATCTAGCTTTATAGGTGGAACACGTTTGTCTGGTCCAGTCTGTTCATCGATTTTAGATGATCTTTTATCTCATTAAAAGCTGAATTGTGATTCTAAATCTCGGCTCAATTGAATATCTGTTACAAGTACAATTGGTGAATAATGAATGAAAGTGTTAGAATCAGGTGTAAATAAACATGTCAGAGAACCAACATAAGATCAATGAAACCAAATCTGTGTTCTTACCACTTTGACGTGTACTTTTTTGCAGGTCTTCTCTCTGTCTCAACGCACTGTTGTACATCTCACTAGTATAGGACTGCAGTTTATTCTCAATGAACAGTTGCTCAATTCTGTTCATCAGGTCTCTCATCTCAGACTGGTTGTTCATGTTCTTGCTGCAGGTGTGATATCTTCCACCACATTTCTCAATCAGACGCTCCAGAGCAGAGTTTTTCTTCAGATCATCTATTATAGAGTCAGATTCTTCATGGCTCTCATAGGTGAAGAGAATCATCACAAACTGAAGTATTCCATCACCAAATACTCTCTGAAACCACTCAATACCCATCTTATCAGAATCTGTTAACTGGCTCAGTCGCACAACAAAGATGAAGGCGATGATTTCATTTTCATTCACTAGTTTATCAGTGAGAGCATCCAGATCAAGTGCAGTTTCATGTAAGCCAATTAGGTTGGTCACTGAGAAGCAATGTCCTGATTTCTTCATCTGCAAAGAAACAGTCCTGGATATTGCAACATTTTCAATATTTGGTTGTATTTCTCCAAGTAGAAAGTTGTCGCTTTGAAACTGGACTGCAGCAGAGTTTCCAAATAACACAATGGTCAGACTGTGATCTAGAATAAATAATCAAAAAAGTTCTCAAATTTATCAATAACCTGCAACATAAGAACAAGTCACATTCATCAATGCGAAAAATCTGATATTTTTTTGTTTTCTTACCCATACTGCTGAGCATCAGACAGCTCAAATGATTCACTTGTCAGGTTTGGAGACACTCTTTTATTCTAGAAGCTCTTCATTAATCTGAAAAATAATTTTTTTTCTTCTTTTTTTTAAGTGTGCAAGAGCATGTGTATATAACATAACATAAAGTCTAGCTTTCTCTGAGTGATGTATGAGTATCAAGTTATAACTAATTATCAACTTATAATCTTCCTGCTTATATAGGTGTAGATCCAGTCTAACATGATTTAAAGTTTACAGAAACATATTATTTTCTAAGAACATTCTTCATTATTCTGAAAAAGATTCATTTTCTTTTCTTTTTTTTGCGGTTTTTTTAAGTGTGCAAGAGCATGTGTATATAACATAATATAAAGTCTAGCTTTCTCTGAGTGATGTATGAGTATCAAGTTATAACTCCAGAGACTTGAACTCTTCCTGCTTATATAGGTGTAGATCCAGTCTAACAGGATTTCCAGTTTACAGAAACATATTCTTTTCTATGAACATCTGACAAACTAAAAGAAAAGCTGACCAACCATGTAAGTTATTTCAGTCCATGTCCATTTAACTTCTTGATTGTTGAAACAAACAATTAATTTTTTTTAAATGATTTTTTCAATCAGTTAAATGTGCAATAAAACCTAAATCTTTAGATATTGCTTTTTATATTAATACGAATTTGTCTGTGTCATGTCATACTCTGTCAGATTCCCATTATTGTATGCTTAACCAGCTGTGTATTGTGAAACGCTGTTTTACTGTATCTTTACTTAAATATTCTTGTAATATTAAAATTCTACTTCTTCCTTTAGGACACTAAATAATGAACAACAATAATTAATTTAAGGGGTAATGGACAATCAGCTGGTTGTTATCGCAGAATAAACCTAGACAGAATAAACCTAGACAGGATGATTAGGTCTTGTATCACTTTTTTTTTTGTGATAACAGTCTGGGTGAACATTATTTTGCTATTTACATGGATACTTGTCATATAATTAAATAACTGCACACAAAATATTGATTTTTAATATTTTATTAGCTCATCAAACACAAAGCTTCCACAAAGAAAAAAGGTCCTTTTATCAGTGTTATCAGTTTTTACCAGTTGTTATCAGGGGATTACAAACCGCTGGATGGCGATTAAAAATCGAGTATTCCACATAGCAATATGTAATAAAAACGAATAAAGTGAGTTATAAAGCAATTAAGAACCTGATAGGCTACCTCTGTCCTGAAATCCATGCATATTCTCGGCCAGTTCTTATTTCCTTATTGTGTGTCATGACATAACAGAAAGTGAAAATGTTTTTGTTTTTTTTATGATTCACAATCACCAATCACTGAATACCTGAAAGACCTTTTAAACAAATCACTAACTTCTCTGAAATATATTTGTAACATTTAACTATAATAGATAGTACATGATGACTTGTCATGTTTTATGGTAAACTGATGATGAGCAGCACACTACTGGTATGGTTATGGGTTCAAGTCTTAATTGTGGAGATTTGACAGTAAATTTCAACATTAACTTTCCTCAAATAATAAAGTTCACCAAATGTTGAAACTCTATTAACTAAGGGAAGCTGAACTTGTGACAACTGGTAAATATTGTGAGTAGCCTAAATTTGCCTCAGTTATGGCGACCTCATTTAAAACTAAGTAATTCACCTGATTGGAAATGTACTTCCTCTAACAGCGGTTAAATAACTTAAAAATCAGTTCTAAAGTATCATTTAATGTTTTAAATATTGTGTCAATAAACACTAATAAGAGATATAATTTATTTTTACCATGTCCTCCTCGTGAAAGTGTCTCACGCACGCTGTCTCTTAAGTGGTGGTTTTTGAGCATAAATGAATCAACAGCCGTTTCTCGATATGCGTTCTTCTCTGTACTTGTGCTCTTGTGGACTTGTTAACTGTCATCAAAGTTTAGCCAAGTCCAGATGCCTTTTCTTTTGTTCCGCCTCTTTTTCGAGGATGCGCCAGAAGGGAGACAGGATGGCTGCACGTCAGATAAATGAGCGTCGAAAGGTTAGGGGTGTGCCAAAAAGAGACGTGTCGAAAGATCTTTACAATTGGTAGCGAAAGCCATACACATAATAAATACCTAGACGCCTCATTGGCCGCTCTATCGCATGTCAACGTCGCCGCCATATTGCTCCGGGCAACTACTGTAACATATCGGGACAGAAGAAAACATACCTCACTCGTCGGCAGCTTGGGGATCTACAGAGCGTCCCACAGTAATAAAAACAGAGCTTGTAACGCTTTGACTCGGATAACGCGTTAAATCCATGAAAAGAGATGGAAAACGAAGAGTTGGTGTCCCACACATTCAATGGCTGGCAACGCGCTCCTCTCATACATGAGATATTAACTCTTTTTTGGCGTTACAAATAAAAGTAAAGACAAAGTAACAAGAAGGCAGAGCGAACTTATCGTCCATTACACAGGCACGTAGTCCTTCTACTTCATCACCACATAGCGTGCGTTATAAGTTAAGTGATCAGTCTCTTAAAGGGCACACTGCACTATAATGTGCTGCATGCAAATACATAGTTTTGGCCGTTACAAACTCTGGGTATTATCTTTCACAGGTAAGACTGAACAGTTGTTTCTGGTTGTTTTTTGGTCATTTTTAACATTTTGTTGGTAGCTTTATTAGCTACCAGTGTCAGACGATTAATAGTGATATCAGTTAGCTGTGAAAGCTGAGACTTTATAAGAAATCAAAGTTTAAATTAATTCTTATGACGTTTAACTGACATTGTAATTTATATCACAAAGTAAATTTTTACAGTGAGCACTTTGACAAGGCCTCACTCAGACTGTCAGGATTAGGGATGGAGCTAAAGCTCTCTTTAATTTCACTACTCATTTACAAAGAGTAAGTTATTTATCCAGAAAAAAACGCAGCTCCCCCGTTTACCTCTCATCTGTTTTTTTTTTAAAGCAGTCTTGCCTGGATAAATATGGCAGACGCGTTGACTCAAAGCGGCCAATGAGGCGTCTAGGTATTATGTCTATGGTGAAAGCTGCCTGTTCTACATACAAGCTTGAACGCTACTGGTTTACAGATTAACAGGACGTGCATAAGGACAACATAAACAAGAGGTTTTACCTTGTAGTTATCCCTAAGCCGAAATCCCTTCTTTTATTTTAAAAGATGTGATAATGATATTAAAAATATTAAATATAAAACATGGATTCTTGAGATAAAATGTCAGTTTTTATTTAATTATACTTTTTTTTTATAGCCTATTTTTAAAATATATTTCTAGAGAAAGGTCTCAGCTAATGAACCATGCAAGGGAACTGTTTTTTTTTAATGTACATTTATTCACTTCATAACTTCATTTGTGTCAACTCTGTCAGATGCATTAAACAGCATGATATTTTAATTTGATTAATCCAATAACAATGTAAATTATTCAATTATGTAATAATGGTGCTCAGTAAGGTGGCTGAAGTGATCAAATGCATTTTCTACATTACAGTTTTTACACTATTGTGAACAATCCAATTCCTAATTTTTTTTCCATTTTCTACCCTCCTTTTTAATATTAAACATATATAACCAATGTTCTTTGGTAAATCAGATATATTATCATGCAGTTCAGTTCATGATTTACAAGTTGTAAAATAAATAAATAAGGCACACATCAGGTCAAATAAGTATGTAAAAAAAATCATGACACAACATTAAAATAATTTCCTGTATGCAAAATATATATCACTATATAAAGAGTTTTGTGAGCATTTGTCAACTCCATAAGCTTACAAGTCAACTCTGTCAGAGTTGAAATGTTAAAACTGTGACAACAGAGAGTTCAGTACTGTTTGTTTAAAATATATATATACAAACATAAAACTTCCAGGACTGAATCCTACTGTGAGATCCACAATAAACAGGAAATAGTAAAGGGTTCCTCAGAGTTATACAGTGGGTACGGAAAGTATTCAGACCCCCTTAAATTTTTCACTCTTTGTTATATTGCAGCCATTTGCTAAAATCATTTAAGTTCATTTTTTTTCCTCATTAATGTACACACAGCACCCCATATTGACAGAAAAACACAGAATTGTTGACATTTTTGCAGATTTATTAAAAAAGAAAAACTGAAATATCACATGGTCCTAAGTATTCAGACCCTTTGCTGTGACACTCATATATTTAACTCAGGTGCTGTCCATTTCTTCTGATCATCCTTGAGATGGTTCTACACCTTCATTTGAGTTCAGCTGTGTTTGATTATACTGATTGGACTTGATTAGGAAAGCCACACACCTGTCTATATAAGACCTTACAGCTCACAGTGCATGTCAGAGCAAATGAGAATCATGAGGTCAAAGGAACTGCCTGAAGAGCTCAGAGACAGAATTGTGGCAAAGCACA